CTACATGTTAATAGTAAAGAGAAAAAGAAGAATACTGGGAACTCACTCTAATTTATTCATGCCATTCATCTGGGACTCTTCTCTTGGGCTCTGATCTTCTTACTTCCCATTCTACTTCACTTCTATCTGAATGTCAAAATCTTTGGCTTCATAAATCACTTTTCAGTTCTGGTATAATCCCTTGGATATGATACCTAAGTCAACTATTCCTACCACGGTTTTATAATTAACTTAGATTGTCTGATTTTGTTGATTTGAAGCAAAATATCTTTCCAATGACCCAAGTGCCCCTTCCTTCTTGTTTAGTCAAAAAACAATTCTCTGACCTCTGCCTTTATCCAAAAACATTGGAAAATAGACTTAATTCCTGGTGACCATGGGCCTACAGTAACTATAGCTTCCTTTAAAACTAAGATATTGATATTCTGTTCTATAAGTTTTAATCGTTATGTTTGATTATCAGTATTCTGGAGCACACCTGTGACCCTACAAGGACACAATGAGGCCTGATCTCAAAAAGTCAGCCAAAGAAACTTAACATTATCAAAGAAATTTACAAGTTTACAGGTAAAACTCTCAACACATGAAAAGGAGAAATTGCAGCTATGAAATACATAATCTTAAAAATCAAACTAAGATGATATTGGGAATATTTCTCTCATTGCCAAACTTCTTTCCCAGCTCCTTTTAATTTTAGAGAATAATCATAATTCTTGTTGGCTATCTTGGGAAATATTTGTACGATAGCAGGTGCTCATGTGTTCAACAGGAGTGATAATGTGGTGCATCAAGTACAACAGCATGCAGAATTTTTGTGGTAGCATAACCCCACAGACATCTAAACTCCTATCGTGTGAGCAACTACTTACTCTGCCTACTTAAAAATCAGTTGTACTCAGATATATCTGAGAAGAAAAGACATAAACATCAAATCTTTCAGGCCCTTCGGTACTTCACAATGAAATTCTCTACATTTATATTGAAAATTGATAATTAAAATTGAATCAGTGTTGTAGTTTACCAAGAGAATCATCTTTATTGTCAAAAATAAGGCATTAAGACTTCTTTCTGAGCAAGGGAAGAAAAGAAGTCATGAAATAAGTAATTTCATTTGAAATTAAAGGTTTCTACATGCTTAGTAAGTTTCTATTTTAAACATTTTTTAAGCATACTGAATAACCATGTAAGTTATAAGGTTCCAGGCAGCTTGGCCCAGCCCTGACTGTTGTGGTCATTTGGGGAGTGAGCCAGCAGGTGGAGGATATCTCTTTCTGTATCTCTCCCTCTCTTTATAACTCTGCCTTTCAAATAAATAGGCTTTTAAAAAATAATAAATCATGAAGGTTAGGCTGGTTCCTGGTCAAGGAACAAAGCAAAAGCAAAGTTGCTGAAAACAGTCTACTGTCAACAAAAAAGACAGAAGTTGGAGAGTAGGAACAAGATGCTATATAGAGTTTTTGGGTAAAATAAATCAGATGAAACTTAGGAAGAAAGCCATCTTCACGGTTCATTTAGTTCCACATTCCTGTCCTTCAGTTGGAAAAAAGATCTGGTGATAATATATGCCTTTGTACAAGCAAATTTCAGAGTGGGTATTTTCACATCATGTGCTTTGGTGACAGTTATATGAAGGTTAAACTATGATATATACAAGTATATTTTAAAGTCCAGTTAGTGGAAAATCATAAGCTAAAATGCTGTTGATAAAAATGTATGCTATAACAAATGCTGTAACTTAATTGATCATGAACATAAACAATCATTTTTCATGAAAAACAACAACAGTAGCAATTAAAAATCCTGATTAATTTAAAACAACATGAATGTTATTCTGGAAATGAAAAATTCTTCTTTCAAATTACAGCAATTTCAACTACAACTTGGTTGGGAACATTAACACTAGGACTCTGCAAATAGCTAAGTGCTTTGTGGCAGAGAGATTGCTCAGGAAAACTTGAGTCTACATGAAATGATAGCCATAAGCTAATTTTAGTTTACAAGTAAAATAATTTGATTTGCAAGGGATTGGCTCCAAACTCCTCTTATCCCATGAATATCACAATTTGCATATACCCAATTCCCTCACATAAAAAATTTGGAGTATTTGCATGTAACCTATGTACCTCCTTACACATACTTTAAAATACCTCTAAATTATTTATAATGCCTAATACAATATTATCAATGCATAATGGCTGCTATATAGTCTTCATTAGGGAATCAAAAGAAAATAAATTCTGTACATGTTTAGTACAAATGTATTTTTTCTCAGGCATTCCCAGTCCACTACTGTTGATTCTGCTGATAAGGAACCTATGGTTATAGAGGGCAGACTCTAACTCTTAAATTCATTCCGTAACTAACTGTTTATAAGAAGCTATGTAAAACCAAATTCAATGGACTTTAAGTCATTTGCCAGGAAGACCCATGAAAGTATCTACATTAGGGAGAGTCTGAGTTTCAACAAGGGGAGTCAACTGTGTAACTAAGAATCTCTATTGCTATAGCAGGGCTGTACTGTCAGTTGCTCTAGGAAGCTGGGTCCCCTGGCTTAGCGACTCCCTAAAATCCACTTGGTTTTAAGAGATCTTTCCTACTCTTTACTAAGTAACTCCTTGTTTCATTCCTGCAGCTGTTGCCTGGGAATCCAATGGAGTCTGGCTATTCCATGATTCTATTCCTGCCTCCTTCTTAGAAAACAGCAATATTTCTAGTTGCATCATTTTTGGATTAGCCCCCCCTTACATGTAGTCATATAAAAAATAAGGTATGATAATTTAGAAAATAACATTAATCAGAATGAAATTTTTGGCAGCTATATTTGACACACAGATAAGAGAGTATGTTTTATGACAGTTTCTAGGTACACTATTTAAAAAATTTTAAACCTGGTAGTTTACTTAGAGAATGGTCTCTGAAAAGTATTGGCTCAAAATTAGAGGCATCAGTTCTTTAAGGAAGGTAGATATGGACGTCAATAAAGTATGCTAAAAATATAAACTTCACAAAGATTGATTTCATGGTTGTGCATTTACCTGAAGCATCCAAAAAATCCTAAGCAAACTCAAAATTAGCAAATGTTGACAACTGCTTCTTTCAGCTAAACCAGGATGTGTATCTTTCCATCTCTTGTGATAGAATATTCAAGCCAGATAATATGTATTTTTATAAGTTAAAACCTTTACTTTTTATTAGTATTTAGGAATATTTAGGACAAGTTTTTGAAGTGACAAAACCTAAAAATAGGGAGTGATAATAGAGTAATTTACAGTATAACCTAAAACCTATGGCATATTTTTATTATGTAGTCAAAGTAACAGAGCATGTAAAACACCCATCAGAAATCCTAAGGTGATTTTCATTTCTAGAAAAACAGTCAGCCAAGCCTGTTCACAAAATAAACTGCACTTCCTGAGGTTCACAAACTCCTAACGAAAAGTTTGTAATTTTCTGCAAAAGAAACACACTGGCTGCTTCAGGAAGTGGGTTAGACAAGCATGTTCCTGTGGTAACAGTTTCCCAAACATGAGTTAGAAAGACACATTTTTGCTAAACTGTAGCCTCCTAGGTCTCCTGATCTATGAGCAACAAGAATAAAGTAGCTTGACTGAAAAATTATTTAGAAGCAAATATCCCATGAACTAGCAAAATCTGTCAAATAAAGTCACTTTTAACTTACAATGGAAAGAAACCCCTAAACACAGTCTGATACTATCAAAACATTGTTATATGGCACTAATACTTTAGGCAGTAACACTAGATCTAGAGTATCCTACAACCATATAAAACATTCACATATGTCCCATAGGGCTCTTGTCAGTCCCTAATACATAAAAATTCCCTTAGTGATACAAATGCATATTCATTTGATTAAAATATGGTAAATTTAGTTTCTCATAATTTTATTCTTCTTTTTTTTTACCACAAACATATCTCTCAATATTTATATGAGTGCTATTTTATAGTTTTCTTGGTTTGTTGTTACTCACTCATTTTTATTCATTCATCCTTGCCACAAATCTTTATTGAGTATCCATTAAATATCAGCAAATGATTGAATCAAAACTGCTTTGCTTTATTTTTTTTTCTGGTTGTGCTTAATACCCATCTGGAAATCATTTAGTAATATTTTTAATAATAAAAAGCCCCATTCTTCATTTCATGGCTATTGATCTACTTAGAACTTCTATCCAAGAGCTAAGATTTTTCACATCTTTAATTCTAAGGGTTACATAGAATGGGGTGGTGATAGCTGGGTGGTTAAGAAGGAATTTAATGCATATTACTTTCATCTAACATGTAATGTATTCGAGTGTTTAACAAATACCATTTTATACATGTCACATAACAACAAAACGAGGTCAGTATACTGTTCTGTAAATTGGGAAGTTGAGTCTCTTGGCACTCAAGGGATTGGTCATCTAAGGTCATATTGTTATTAGCTGGCATTGCCAATAAAAGTTCTGCCTAATTTCAAAGTGTTTTTTTTTTGACAGCTCTTAAAAGCACAGTTGACATCTGATACTTATTTTTCAGTATTTTCATACAATAGTTTGAATTTATACTACTTATAAAGCCCAGAACTCCTCTTCTCCCATTTTACCTGCAAAAACAATATGCTATGTAGATCAATTACCACCAAAACACCCTTTAACAATGGCTTTTGAGGCAAACATAGATAGCTCATTCAAAGAAAAATGCAAATGAATAAATTTATAAATTTTCAAAATTTTTAAAAATTCTGAAAGCTATCTTCCCAGACAATGCATTATGCTTGATATTTTTTCCAGAACACCCTTCTAATATTACTGGGAAGAACAGATAATAAGTTATGAATAGTTTAGGAATCTAAAAGTAGTACTATAAATATAAATTAAACCAAGCAAAAATGCAAACATAAAATGTCTATTTTTTGGAGACAAATAAGATGAAAGCACAAAATTCATGTTAAAGAATTTATTATGTTGCATTCCAGCTAATTATTTCACATTAGCATGTACCTTGTAGTCGTCGTAGTCATTGCTATCTAGCAAATCCCTTTTTTCCAGTTCTATAAGTTGTTCTTCAGTGGGTTTAGCAGCTATCTGCTTAATGGAGGCTTGCTCATATATGGGTTTTCCATTAAAAAATAGCTCCTTCCAATCATGCATCATCTTATGTGGAATCAGACTGTGGCAAAAAGAGGATGATAGAGATGTATCAAAGGGTAGTCAAATATATACTTTAAACTTTAGTCTTTTACTATATTTATGTAAATTCTCTTTCATTAGACTTAAATAAGCAACAATTTTAATGACTATCTTGTGTGCAATGATAATACCAACACACATTAGGTGTTTCTGTTAAAAATTCTTTACAAATTTGTAAACCCCCTGTGATCTTGAAAGAGCCTTAACAATTATTCAGTCTTTCCATTTTGCATTGGAGGACACTGGTATTATGGCATTTAAATGAGTTCCTAAGCTTGAACAGCCTTTTGATATCAGAGCTGGGAATTAAAAACTTAAGATTTCTGATTGTGCTCATTATTTTAAGGTACATCGTTCTGTTATGCCACAATCAGTAAGAAAAATTTGATGTTTCAGTGGCATGAAGTAATAAGCATTTGTTCAAATCTACTAGGTTCCAGTCATTTTCCTAGCCATTAGGGACTTAATAGCAAATGAAATCCCTATCCTCAAACAGAAGACCCTGCGAAAGGGGGTCAAAAATAATTGCACAAATAAATAAGAGTTCTGAATGAAAATCAGACAAGGGGAAAATATAGCTGTATGACTTGACTTAACTTGTGGGTTCAAAGAGCTCTTTGAAGAAGTGACTGAGGCCTAAATAATGCCCAGAAGATAACTGGGACATCGTGACCAGGAAAATTTTCCAAGATGAACAAAATGTGCAAAAGAAAAGAACCTGACATAATTCAGATGCATTTCTCTAAAAATAGTTGGACTAGAACTTGAATCACAACTTAATAAGTAGTATTTCATTCAGGTACATGATTCAAAAGGCACTATGCCAAATGAAAAATGCCAGCCACCAAAGGAAAATATCATGTGATTCCAGTTGTGTGAAGTGTGCAGAACAGGTCAATCTATGGAGCCATGAAGCAGAACAGGAATTATGGAGTGCTGGAGAGGTGGGAATGCACATACTGAGCTCACACCTAACAACCTTTCCTGACTGAAGAGCTGCGTAGTCTGGGGTCCTGAAGAACTCACTGTCCTCATGCTCAGCTATCGTCTGCCTTTTCTTTCATTTTCTGTTACTTTTCAGGACTTTGAAGTCCTCAGAGTTACCTGTATTCCTCCTTTTCAACTTTTAATACTCTCAATGATTCTACTATGATGTTTTGCAGAAGTTCTACAGTTCATGATTACAATCCATTAAAGTAGTCAGCATCTTTTGAAAAGGTTAGAAGCAAGAAAAAAAAAAAAACCCTTAACTATCTGACCTTTGATGTAAAATTATTTTCCTATTTAAGGATATAAGGATAAAACCAGACAATGTGACAGAAGTGGAATACTTTCTAAATAGCAGCTTTAGTCGTAAAGAATAATAGTTTCCCTGGTCTTGGCCAAGCTTCTCCTTTTCCTCAGAATCCTGACCTTGTTACTGTCCACCTGATCCATTATGTTCCTGAATAGGAAACCGCCTGCTACGGCTCCTGAGGTGCCGAATGCCTTCCTTTCTTGCTAACTGAAATTCTTAAGATTTATGCATACAGTTGTGCTAGCTATTCCATTTTCTCCGGTGATCTAAATTCCGTCAGCTCACCTCACATCAGCCTGGTCTGGTAATGCAATTCCTTACTCAAGATGGAACTAGTAAGGAAGAAACAGTCATGGTTTACTTGTACATCTTTACTTTTCTAGTTTAGAGCAGATTTTGTTCACTTTAAATAACTTGAACAGGAAACTCAAGCGAGGTGGTCTTTAGATCAACAGTCTCTATGTGTCAGTTATGGTTCTTGTATGTTGTATGATTGCTATTTAAACATACAAGTAGGAGCTGGTACTGTGGTGTAGAAGGTTAAGCAGTGCTGGCATCCCATATGGGTGGTGTTCAGAGTCCCAGTTGCTCCACTTTCATTACAGCTCCCTGCTAATGTACCCGGGAAAGCAACGAAAGATGGCTCAAGTCTTTGGGCCCCTGAATCCACGTGGGAGACCTGTAGGAAGCTCTGGACTCCTGGCTTCAGGCTGGCCCAGCCCTGGTCATCGCCAGCCATTTGGGGAATGAACCAGCAGATGAACGATCTCTTCCCCGCCCCCTCCTTCTCTTTGTATTTCTGACTTTCAAATAAAATTTTTAAAATGCAAGTGTTTTAAGTTTTTAAAGCCTTTATTTTGAGATAATTATAAGCAATTATACAAGAGTACTTCAAAAAGTATAAAAATTAAATTAGAAGATAAATTTACTTTGATGCAAAAAATTGAAATTTATATATACAAAGCATTTTCACAAACTGTATGGAAGGTGTCCATTATGAAAAAGTTATACTTGAGTTTCAAAATAGTGTTTTTGTTTATCTTGTACTGTCACCTTGCCACATTCACTTGTCAGTTCTAGGTGATTTCCTGGCATTTTCTAGACAATCATGCCATCTGAAAAATAGGTAAATGGTTATTTCTTCATGTCTGCATAGCTTTTATTTCCTTTTCATGCCTTGTTGCACTCGCTACAACTTTTAGGATTATGTTGAATAAGAACAAAGGATAGGGCCGGCGCCGCGGCTCACTAGGCTAATCCTCCGCCTTGTGGCGCCGGCACACCAGGTTCTAGTCCCAGTCAGGGTGCCAGATTCTGTCCCGGTTGCCCCTCTTCCAGGCCAGCTCTCTGCTGTGGCCAGGGAGTGCAGTGGAGGATGGCCCAAGTGCTTGGGCCCTGCACCCCATGGGAGACCAGGATAAGTACCTGGCTCCTGCCATCGGATCAGCGTGGTGCGCCGGCCGCAGCGGCCATTGGAGGGTGAACCAATGGTAAAGGAAGACCTTTCTCTCTGTCTCTCTCTCTCACTGTCCACTCTGCCTGTCAAAAAAAAAAAAAAAACCAAACAAACCAAAGGATATGAACATCCTTTCGTATTCCCAATCTTCAGTGAAATGTACAAAGCCCATCACTTTTATGTATAATGTGAATTGTCAGGTACTTTTTGTGAGGTTGAGACCGTTTCTCTTTTATTTTGATAGTCCAAAGTATTTTCATTATGAGTGAATATTGAATTCTGCCAAGAGCTTTTTTCCACATTCATGCATTTTATCATGTGATTTACTCTTCAACCTGTTAATATGGAGGACTGAACTGACTGACTTTGAACATGGAACCAGCATGCATCCCTGCAGTGCACTCTATTTGATCTTGATATATAATTGCTTGTATGTCCTTGAATTCTAATTGCTAATATTTCATTAATTATTTTTAAAGAACCAGCTCATTGTTTCCATGGGTTTTATTGTTTGTCTTTTAGGCTCCATTTCATTTACTCCTGCTCTTATTTCCTTTCTTCCTTCTTTGCTTTGGATGTATTTTTCTCTTCTTGATTCATGAACTTGGATTTGAATGTCTTGCATGGCTGATTTGAAATTTTTTCTCTTCTTTTATTCATGTATTTGGTGATATACATTTCTGACAGCAGTGTTTTTAGCTATGTCTCACAAACTTTGTATTTTAACTTTCACTCAGTTGAGTGTATTTTTTTTTTTTTTTACCTTGAGGTGTCCTCTTTGACTCAAGGATTTACAAGTAAGCTCCTGAATTTCTTAGCATTCATTGACTTTCCTGTTATTTTTCTGTTATTGATTCCTGCTTTGATTTCATTGTGGTCAAAGAATACACTCTCTGATTTGAATATTTTAAATTTGTTGACTTTTGTTCTATGGTCTAGGATATATATTGTCTGTCTTGACACATGCTCCATGGAAGTTTGAAAAGAATCTGCACTCTCTGATGATGGGTGTAGTGTTCTGTATTTATCAGAAATAATTGGTCGATAATTATTATTTATTTGTTTTCTATATCCTTGCTGACTTTCTGTCTAGTTCTACCAATTGTTGCAGTCTCAGATTATGACTGAGGAGGTTTCCTTTCATCTTTCAATTGTATAAATATCTTTTTCTTCATGGAAAATCAGTCTGCTTTATTTACCTTTTCTGTATCTTTTATTTTGTATATTTTCCCCCTTTTGATCATCTTATTTTCAAATTTTTCTATAATCCTTTCATTTGTAACCCTTTTATAACTTAGCTTCCTCATAATTTTATTCTTATAATTTATGAACTGTTGAATTCATATTAATTGGAAAAGTAGTTTTAAACATTTATTCTTTCATTACTTTCACTTTTCAAGGTTAATTGTATTCTTTTTCTTCCATCTTGTACCTTATTAGTTTATCTTCAGAATGCCCTCATCACGTTATTTCATTTAATAGATTCTTATATGGCATAGGGCACAGGGCAGCAGGGTGAGCACACAGAAGAATCCCTACTCATGTTCAGGGTGATGGGAAGATTTCCCTCTTCTATCTGTCCCCAGCCTTATCTGGTTTTCATTCTTTCCATTGTGACTTCTCAAGATCTCAACCTGGGTAACTTGAGAGGTGTGTAAATTTAACTGGATGATCTTGTTCTTGTCCTTGTGGAATGATTTTCACTGAGATCGACCATGGGGTCACCCCCTTCAGCTTTCCTCAGAGGACATCAGAAATGGGTCTGTGAAGCCCATGCTCCACCTGCTTGATTGAGTTTGCTGAGGAAATTCTCCACCAGACCCTCTACTCAGCAGACATCAGGTGAGAACACCCTAGGAAACTATTCTGAGTGCAGGTTACATGCTGAAAAGAACTACAATGGAAAAGGGAAATCATGTTACAGATTATGTTTCACTTTTTACTTTCTCCACTAAGAATCTCAGATCATCTCTGTGAGTGAGATCCCAATGGAAAGAACGGGCCATCAAGGAAGGAGGTACCTTTCTCTGAAGGGAGGAGAGAACTTCCACTTTGACTATGGCCTTGTCTAAATAAGATTGGAGTTTGTGAACTCAAGAGGCTTCCATAGCCTTGGCAGCTCATGACAAGAGCCCTGGGTGATTACTAATGTCATAAACAAGAGTGTCAATTGTTAAATCAACAACAGGAGTCACTGTGTACTTACTCCTCATGTAAGATCTCTGTCCTTAATGTGTTGTACTACGAGAATTAATGGTAAAACTAGTATTCAAACAATACTTTATACTTTGTGTGTTTGTATGGGCGCAGACTGTTGAAATCTTTACTTAGTATATACTAAATTGATCTTCTGTATAAAAAGATAATTAAAAATGAATCTTGATGAAGAATGGGATGGAAGAGGGAGCAGGAGATGGGATGGTTTGCGGGTGGGAGGGTGGATATGGGAGGAAAACTGCTATAATCCAAAAGTTGTACTCTGGAAATTTATATTTATTAAATAAAAGTTAAAAAAAGCTGTAGTTCAGTTGTGCCGACAAATCTATTCCTGCCTATCTATCTGTGTTTCCATGTACTTTGTTTTACATCTCTACTTTAAAATCGCATCTTCCTTTCTTATTATTTCTTAATAGTTTTCACTATTTCCTCACAAGTATGCTGTTTTCTTTAACACACTGCAAAAGACTGAGATATAATAATTAGCAAAATAAAAATATTTCATTCCATAAAGCTCATGATGTTTCAAATTACCATAGTCATCTCTATAAATTGCAGAGAATTTAGACAAAATTTTCAAATGGAAAAAGACACAAATATACCCTAAATAAAGCTAATTGGTGGGTCAGCCAACTCAGTAATCAGGGTCGTCTAAAACCTAATTCTTTATTTTTCCATGACACATTTTAGTCTCTCTCCACTTACCAACATAGTATCTATAATCTTGTCCTTTCTCATTCTTTCTGGTGTCTCTACTGTAGTAATTATAAAAGGCAATACTTACTTATTTGTCAACATACGATAATCTGCCACTTTCGTGGACAAGTCAAGTATCTGATCCAAGATTTCTGCACACACTGCATAATGCTTTTTGTAACGAGCTTGAGCTCTTTCCACAGCGATCTGCTCATGAATTTCCTTCTCTCTAAGGATTTGTTCTTCGAAATCAATCTTGGCTTGTTTTGCCAAGGCCTAAAATGCCAAAAATATATTTTATTTCGTATTTGTTCAGTGAATCAAGTGACAGTAATGTCATTATTTCAAAAGCCAAAGAAAGTCTTCTAATAGAATGAAACCTCCTTTTTACATTAGGAAAAATTTAATCATGAATAATAAGCATTTTCCCCTTAATTGAGTAAGTATTGAATCTAATAGCTTAAAATAATACTGGAAATATTCTACCTTTAGTTTATTTTATCAACAAAATGTAATACATGGAAACATGGTCTTCCCAGGGAAGCCTAATGTGGATTAACAATAAAGTAGGTTATGAGCTTTCAAAAAGAGGTCCTCAGTTCATAGACTGCAAAGAGTCAAGGATCACAGAGAAACAGGCAAACCTTTAGAAGACTCCAGGCACACAGGACCCTCACATCCACCTCAGGAGCCTCAACCTGGACTCCTCTACCAAGGAGCCACTGCCCGTGGCCATTCAGTGCAAAGAGTTCTGTGATACTGATGTATAGTTAGGAAATATTTTGAAACTTTCTGACTGTGCTGCTTTTAAAATATATTTGCAAGGACTGGCACTGTGGCATAGCAGGTTAAACCTCTACTGTGATGATAGCATCCCATATGGGCACTGGTTCGATACCCGGGTACTACACTTCCAATCCAGCTCCCTACTAATGCACCTGGGAAAGCAGCATAAGATGGCCCAAGTGCTTGGGCCCCTGCACCCACATGGGAGACTCAGAAACACCTCTGGGCTCCTGGCCCAGCCCTGGCCATTGTGGCCATATGGGGAGTGAACCAGAGGATGGAAGATCTCTCTCTCTCTCTGTCTCTCCCTCCCTCTCTCCCTCCTTCCCTCCCTCCCTCCCTCTCTCTCTCTCTCTCTCTGTAACTCTGCCTTTCAAATAAATAAAAAGTAAATTAAAAAAATTTGGATTTCTCTTGAAATACAAGTTTAAAAATAAAATAAAATAAAATAAATTTTCCAATAAATATGTTGACAACAATTGTAAAACCCTCTGCTATTAACAGCTTTAACAAATTAATAACATTTGCTTGTAAAAATACCACTGTTTATTAGAAAATAATAAAATACTTCATTTGTCACCACCCTCTATTTGGTATGCAATATTATTTTGTTTAGAGAACTTTTTCTTTGCATACAATACAGAAGTCAAACTCAGCCCCGCCAAACTAAGTGCAACACACTACTCAATTTAGTGGCATTAAAATTACTTTTCAAATAGTTATGCCAGCTCTTGAGAAATTCCATCATTTCATTACTTCCTGTGACAACCCAGCAAGTGTAAAAGGCAGCGAGCTTGGCATCTGGAGAAACTGCCGTTCCGTTTAAGAGCCAGAACTCAAATTCTTGCTGTGAGACCTTGGACGAGTTGTCTAGCCCCCTACATCTCTGTTTTAAAATGAGAATATTAATAATACTTAGCACACATAGGAAAATGAAGCAAACTATCTTGTCAGAGCAGGTACTTCTTACCATGATACAACTTATAAGTGATGAGATGTATGACAATGGAGTTCTAGGCAAAGTCTATCGTTTATTTTGCTATTGCTGCTTCATTTTGTGTATTTTATTTTTGTTAGGAAATGGATTGGATGGCATGACCTTTAAAGTCATTTATTTACATTTGGTACAGCCAGGAATCACAGAAGAATTTGTAGTTGTTATATTTTAGATGTCTTATATTCATGGAGAAAGAATATACTTTAAGTACAAAGCTTTGTAGCATGCTTCACAAAAACAGTTCAGAGGAATAAAAGAATCTAAGAGACTAGGAATATTAGGTGAGAATTTACAGAGACGGACACTAAAGTGGGCCATGAGGCCATGTTTCAGTGTCTCTGAAACATGGAAAAATTTAGAAAGTGAAGGAATAGGATTAATCTACAAACAAACAAAACCTTAAAGACAGCAACAGAATTTCTCTTCAACAAGGAGAGAGCGTTCAGCCTTGGGTGCTGATGCTGCTGTATACGGCTTTCTTCTCTCCCTCCCTCTCTCTCCCTCTTGCTCCCCCATTCCTCTGTTCCATCCAGCTATCTAGGCGTCCTTCTTTGTCTTCTTCTTTTTTTTAATCTACTCCCACCATCAACTTTGTGCTAACCCTACCACAGTTTCCTGTCTCACTGTGGCAAAGTAGGCTGCAGCCCTGAAAAGAGAAAGAAGGAAAGGAAAAAGGAAGTCTGTGGGAGGGAGCCAATCTCAGCAGCTGACAGCTCGGACTTGGAGAGTCTGATTGAGCTGGCTTTGCTCACTGTTAGCTGATGAACAGTGCGACTCGTCTTCTGGGCTTCATTTTCCTAATGTGTAAATGAGGATAGTGCCCACGCCTGAGGCCACAGAACACAGGTGAAGTCAGTGTTCCCCCAGCTCGGTGGTTCCCCACTCCACCCAGCCCCACTGTTTAGGCCATGCCTGGGCTTCAGAGGTGAAGCCATCATTTATTTCCCTGACCCTGGAGACCATGCTACTTTCCAAATGGTATTTCTAAAACTGTCCTAACTTTGCCAAGGCTTATGCTGCATTTTCATGGAGAATCATAGTAGGAGTCATGAAACTAATGAATAAAGAAGCACTTTTCCATTTTCTGAAACCTTTTTTTTTTTTTTTTTTGCGCTTCTGGGTTTTATGATGATTTTACAACAGTAAAACGGGGTATCCAATATGTCACTCATACGAGTTCTGATTCTCTTCAATCAACTCTGGACTACCGAAATAAACAGGTCTGAAACATTCCCAGTGGGAAACAGACAAGAAGCGATTCATATAATCCGTAACAAATCTATATATATACATATACACAATAATTAAAAGTTATATATATATATTTTTTTTTTCCAGTTATAAAAGGGCCTATCCAGGGGCCAGGCATTGTGGCACAGTGGCACAGTAGGCTAAACTTCCACCTGTGGTGCTGGCATCCCAAATGGGTGCTGGTTTGTGTCCCTGCTGCTCCTCTTCTGATCCAGCTCTCTTTTTATGGTATGGGATAGCAGTAAAAGATGTCCAAGTGCTTGAACCCACTTGGGAGACCTGGAAGAAGCTCCTGGTTCCTGGCTTCAGATCCCCCCAGCTCTGGCCATTGTGGCCATTTGGGAAGTCAACCAGTAGATGGAAGACCTCTCGCTCTCTTTCTCTCTCTCTGTGAGTGTATGTGTGTGTGTATGTAACTCTACCTCTCAAATAAACAGAATCTTAAAAAAGAGGCCTATCCCTGGTGACACCATCAGTGTGCACAGAGTATACCTAGCAGCTGGATCTTGGTTTCTACCATTCTCAACTTAAGCACATCACAGTACCGCACAGAAAATGATGTTTGCTAGTTCTGTGGAAGGGATGATACAACATGGGCCTGGGACATCCTGCTTTATTAGAAAGCTCATGGTGTCTTGTTGAGAATCAGCATCTTGAAAGTTGCCTTGCTGCCTGAGAATATTCACCTAGAATAACCTACAACAGTGTCTACTCTGGTGAAACTAGAGGACGTCAAAGAAAAAGAAAGTTTTTTGGGGTGTCTAGAAAAAAAGTAATAACTCAAGGAAATGAAAGTAAGATTATCATCAGTTGTTGATAGCAACACTTTATCTCAAATAAAATAGTGTACTGAAGATATTCAATTAAGGGAAACGTGAACCACAAATTTCATATACAGCAAAAACTGACAATCACATATAACAGGTATACACTGTAATCAAGATACAGAACCTCAGGGAATATTGTTCTCAGGAGTCCTCAGGAATCTAGTGGAGGAGGAAAAACTTCAGGCAACCAAAATAACCAGAGGGATGTGGACATGGTGTTGGTGATCAGGATTAAACATTGAGTTACCTTTGTAATCAAAACTAAAAGGAGAAAGTGTAGTATGCAGTGGCTACATGCCGACAATGGAGATTACATGAAAGTAAAAATAGATAGATAATAAGCAGAGCACATGAAAGATGAACTCTTGTTAGGTTATTGGTAATATAATACAGCTTCCTTTACCACAACCTGGTGGAAAGGATTAAAAGTAACCTGAAGAAGATTTTAAGGGAGACATTACTTACCGCTTCTCGATCAAGTGCATCCTGGAAATCTTTAAGTCGCCTTTCCTCATACTGCTTTTCTCTGAAGATCCTGTTTTGCCATAGGACATCCTTCTCATGTCGGACGTGCATGAGCTGCACTGCGATCCTGCGCTCCTGCTGGGACTGCCGCATCAGCCGGTTAATCAGCTGCTCCTCCCGGTAAGCCTCCTGCACACACCAGGGGAAGGGCCAAGTATTGATCAAAGTGGTGTCCAAATGTTCCACTGGGGTAAGGCGACTATACCTACATAATGTGCAGAAGGCACATTCTTGCTCAATCAACTCCTGCCATTTCATTTAAATTTGAACATGGCAAAAATCCAGTTATAAAATTAAAAATATTCAACCAAAGGAGTATAATTTTGGTATTCTGAAATGTTAGAATTTTGCACCACATAATTACTTAACTTTTTAAAGATTTCATTTATTTGAAAGCTATAGAGATACAGAGAGAGAGACAGAAAATCAAAGGAAGATAGAGCAAGTGGGCGAGCTCCCATTTGTTGGTTTACTCCCCAAACGCCTGCAATGGCACAGGATGGATCAGGCTAAAGCAGGGAGTCTGGAACTCAAACCAGGTCTCCCACATGGGTGGCAGGGACCCTATTACTTGAACCATCACCCCTGGCCCTCAGGTCTTCATTAGGAAGAAGCCGGAGTCAGGAGCTAATGAACAGAGTTGAACTCAGATACTGTGTTATGGGGATGTAGACATTCCCAAACAGTATCCTAACTGCTGGGCCAAATGCCCACCCTTCACAATTATTTTAAATGAACCATTCTTTCCTTTGAAATATAAATAAATTAGGTGACTTTGTTCAAGGTGTTATAAATAAGTACTATACCCCTTAATTTGTAAGAATGATTTTAAAGTCTGAAGTTGTGTTGCGCTCATTCTAATACAACTGCTAGTTATACAACAAATGTACACATTGTCCAGCTGAAGACAACAGATCTGATTAGCTCCCAGTGGGGACATCTGAACAATCATGTGAGCAAAAGCTGAAAAATGACAGATCGTGAAGACTGGAGATGAGGTTAAGTGGAAATGGCCTATGGTTCATGTTAGAAAATCTGAATGGTCATAATCTGAAAGAGAAACTAGATGTACACTATTTTTTGGCTGTTTTAGGAGAGCAGAGGGCAACCAGTAAATAAACAAGTGGCAAAGACATTAACTGGGAATCAGAGAATCTGGCCATTGCATTGCAGGTGCGCCATCAATGGGCTGTGCGGTCTTGGGCAAGTAATAACTCAGTAGCACAGACCTATTTCATGGCCGGCACCAATGAGAGGTTTAGGCAGAAGATGATCTCCAGGGTCTCATCAAGCTCTCTGACTCTGTCTAAACAGAGACATCATGTGGAAAGAGGAAGTAACTGTAGTAGTCACTGGGGACACAAAATACTATCTGGGTACTAGGGCTTTCCATTTCACTATGTAATCTAATGACTTCAGAAAAAAATGTGGCATCATTAGTGACACTATCTCATGTGATCTCTCCCAGTATATGATTACAGGAGAGAGTCTATATATTTAACAGAACAAGATGTAAATAATAGCATGGCGGTAAATGCTAAAATCTGAACATGAGAGTTATTTAGAAGTGTACATTAAACAAAAGTTCAGCTAAACATAAATATGAATTTCTGTGCATAATATATGTTAAAGTCACCTCATATTTCAGGTCATTATCGATAATAACTTGTTATATATTTCTCTAACTACAAAATCCACAGAAGATAGGATTTTGAATATTTCTTACCATAAAGAAATGTTAAACTTATGAGAAGACAGATACAAAATATTGGACTTTACAATATATGCACACATATCAAAACATCATATGGCACCTCATGAATGTGTAAAATTTTTATGTGTCAGAAATATAAAAGAGCAATTGTGAAACATATATCTCATCTAGACATAAAATTCTGAAAGCTTTAATGTTAGTCATCTGTTTTCTTTTGATTCAGTATTGGAGACAAGGCAGAAAGAAAAGTGGCCAAAGTTCTCCCTAGAAGGAAGTCATCCATAACTTGAAATGTTACCCTAGAAATATTCCTATCAAAATGCAGAATCTATTTTTCACTCCTTAAATACGAGGTGCAGGGTGACCATTAACTTGAATTGACCAAAGGGACATCAGAAAACACACACACACAGTGGAGGTCTGTTTTTCTTAATCCTCCCTGCCAATGCCATCACATGCATAACTTGCTAGACAACGAGTCCTTGGGGAGAGAGGCACCAGTCTTCCAGCTGATGCCTTCTCTCCTGCTGAAGCCACCACCAGTCATTCAGAGCTAGTGAAGTCACCCACTTGCTAAAGATGCATGAGAAGCCCAGCTGAGCCCAGTCCAAACTCCTTATCACAATTAGGGGTAACTTTCGCTGAGTTTCAGATTCACTGTGGGTGGGGGTGGCAATAACTGGTATCCCTAAAATGTCCCAGGTCATGCTGATACTGCTGGTCCAGGAAACACCTTTAGAGAACCACTGGAGTAAACTAACAAATAGAGAGGATGAACAACTTTTCTTTGCTGTTTTCATTAAAAAATTCCTTCTTGCCTGTAAGACAGGCATACATGGTTAACATAGATTTTAAGATTCATCATGCCCTGTTTTATTATGGTAAAATATACATAACAACATATACCATGTCAACAGTTCACATATATAATTCAGCAGTATTGAGTACATTCACAATGCTGTGCCACCATCACCAGATTTTGGTTTCTGTAGTGCATATGTGTATATTCCCCTGGGTATATTTGCTAGTATCACTGAGCATGTGACAGCGACACCTGATTCAGAGGAGCAGACAATATATTTAGAAGATACGTATTTGTGTACACAGAAGAGTAGATTCGGTAAAGTTTCCAGCACTGTTACTTAGCCACCGTCTAAACATCTTACCTCTTGCGCTTCATGCGCTATTAACTGGTCCATTAGCAGTCTCCGCCGCCTTTTCTCTCTTTGTTCTCGTGCAAATGCATCTTCTTCTAGGCGCTTCTGGATTTTTTTAATGTAGTCATCATCCGAGTAAGTGTTCAACAAGTCGGTAGTCATCGGACCTGTTGTGTCTACAGAAGTCTTGGAGGCACTGAGAACAACAATTTTCCACTTCAGTGAGTAATTCTAGGGGATAATTCTATCCACTACGACTCTCCTCTCACCATGAAACTGCAAGTTACTCTGTGAGCACTCTGACTGCTTACAGCAGTGGCTCAGCACTTCTTGGCAACTCAGTAGTTGAAAGCGGACCTGCTCACCACGCCACGCTCACAAGCACATGTCTGACTGGGTCTCTTGCTGAACCTTAGAAATCCAAGTGAGTCTTCTGAGCGCTCTTCCTATTTCATGTCCAAGACTTAAAGGATCAGAAAGTTTGTGGTCTTCCCAACAGAAGGGAAACACATTCATTTTAGCAAGAGAAATGGTGGCTTAGTGCAGAATTATACATTCATTCAAAAGTTATCACTTCTGATACATTCAAAAGTTATCACAATACACATACACTTGACATGTGTATGTACTTATCATTTGTCTAAAACACGAAATTCCAGAGAAATCTCATAAAAAAGTAGCCATTGGAACTCTTGCATTGCTAGCACTGAGACATCATGTGCTTCTTCCACAAAAGAAAACAGATGGACTTCAAGGCGACAGCCTGGCCCCAGGAATTGTTCAGGAGCAGGTTGTGAATGAAGCGGCAGCAGAAAACCCTCTTTCTGGCACCCAGCTAGTGTGAAGTTTCTGAATGAGCCCAGAACATTCCTGTTTCTGAGTTAAGAATGAGAATCCAGGGTGAACTAAGGAAGTCACGATCAATACAGGGGCTTACGAAAGCCCACGTGATACTATAGCCTTTGTGTTCGTTAAACATTAGCTCTAGATCAGTGTTTCTTAACAGCTGTCTTCTTCTGACATCAGAGAAAGTGATCTTCCTTCAGCATAGTAGGAGGTATTGACTCTCAGACGAGGCTGCTCCCTGCCAGGAACTGGCCAGGAGCTCCAGCTGCCCAGCTCCTGCCCTGCTGCACTGAACAGTGAAATGTCACATCTCAGGGTCTCCCAGGTGCAAATCTCTGGTACAACCAAGTAGAGGCGTCTGGGAAGAAGGCTCCTGTGATAGACAGATTCCTCTCTCCTTTTCCTCAAACCAAAGCCAGATCTTATTCAGGAAAACAATGTAACTAGCTCAAGACTACATTTCCCAGCCTCTCTTTCTCTTGGGCGTGGCCCTTTGATTAAATTCTGGCCAATAAGATATGAGCAGGAATGTCACTAGGGACTACTGGGAAGGCTTTGTTTCGGATAGGATGTGTGATGTTTGCTGGGTCTCACGCCCAGCATCCCAGCAGTCATCCTGAACCGTGAGTGTGACTTTGATGATGAAAACCACACAACAGGCCAGTGGAGCACAAATGGAGCAAGGAGAAGCCTCAGATCTTGACAAGCTGCAGCACACCCTGCATGCCGCTTAGTTCCCAAGTTCTAGGCCATGAGAGAAAAGTAACCTTTTATTAGTTCAACCCACTCTTGTTCCGGAGTTTCTAAAGCTAACTGATAGACTCCAGGGTCAGAGGAGACAGGAAGCAGGCACCATGTTTGCAGCTGTAACAGAGTGTTCTGGACAATATTTAGTAACTGACAGGGCAAGGACACTACTTAAACCAAATGAATGCTGATGCAGGGCTTGGCAGATACCTACTGTGTCTGATGTTACCTCTGGTTGCTAAATTCTGTGGACACTGAGGAGTCCCAGGATATTATCTACAGAGAATATGATTCACCAACAAGTAAAAAAAGTATTTTGGCATTTTATGATGGTCTTTCTGGTGGAATCAGCTATTTATCACCACCATGCATGTGGCTCATGAGTGGAAAAGCTGGAAGAAATGAAGCAGCTTCATGGACCAAGCTCAGGGTACATATAGTAAGGTTCCAGTACTGGTTGTACGGTTGTATGGATGAGTAGTCTTGGATTATATTCATTTTAGGAGTCAGGGACAATGTTAGTAAGCGAGAGCAAAGATCAGAACAGGGCACCAGGAGTTTCTGCAGAGGGCAGGAGGAAAGATAATGCATGTAGCATCCATTGTGCTTGAAATCCTTTCAACATCTTACTACCTCAGCTTTCCTTTCTTCTAGTTTTTTCTTATTCCTCATTTCTCTCTCTCTCTTTCTCTTTCTCACTCTCCCTCCTCCTTCCTTCCTTCCTTCCTTTCTTCCTTCCTTCCTTCCTTCCTTCAGAAATACTAGTATGTGACAGGAGCATGTAGTTTGTTTTTATTTTCTTATTTGACAGATTTATTTCATATTCTATAAGATACAAATGAGTAGAATTTGGACAATTTCCATTTTAAGATGCAAAAAGATACAAGTCACTCTTACATATAGTCTCTAATGGATTATTTTCTGTGAACAAATGACCTCCAATGGAAAATAAGAGGTAAGGGATCTTTATCTTTCAGCAAAAGAAGCCCATTCACCAGGCACTTTTTTTTCAGTAAATGTAACAAACTATCTCAGTGACATTCAGCCAACACATTCATTCAACAATGGTTTAGTACTGATCTCCACGCTAAACACTGAGGATACAACATAACAGAAACCACAAAGCTTTACTGTGTCAAAACTAAATTAGTGGTAAATGGAAACAATTTTTTAGCTAATCTTTAAAAATGTGTGTAAGCAGCAAAATAAATCAACTTTGCATTTTATATTAGCCACTTTCCACTTTGATGTTTATAAAAGTGATTAACAATCAGCCTGAATTTTAGCCCATTTGCTTTCCCTAAGATACTCTCTTAAAGAAATTCTCTAAAGTGAAAAGATTCTTGGAATAGCTATTCCAGAGAAGATACTTCTAATATTCAAAATGTATGACGATTAAAGTAGTTCACATCCCACCTTTCTTTTGCCTGAAGATCCTTTTTTATTAAAGCTTCAAACTTCTTAATCTCATTGGCCACATCCTTTAAGGAAAAAGGCAAAAATTAAAAGAAAGAATAAGAAAGCAAAGAGAAGGGAGGGTGAGAGTCCAGGCTGGAGGGAGGGTAGCATGGGAAGTGTCATCATATTCCTAAATCTGTACATATGAAACACATGAAATTTGTTCAACTTATATAAATTAAAAAATTATAAAAAAGTCCTCATTAGTCCTCTGTCTTCACAAATTACTGGAAATCTTCCTTTACCATCTTAATTCAAATTCATAAGGTGACATTTACTACTAACTCAAGATAATGAGGAGCCAAAAAAGGAAAAGCTTCATTATAGAACATTTTTATAATTCTAATTTGTTTCTTTGATACCTGAATTGCTCAGATCATGATTCTAATTGACATTGTATCTGGGGGCATTTAATAAGACTGAAGATTATCAAAGAGTTGGAGCATGCATTTATGAGATATATTTATTTAAAAACTGCTCTCCCAAGTGTATCCTTATTTCTACTATTAATTTGTTCTCTGAATGTTAACTTTAGTCCATTCTTTTGCATTACTAGCCTTATTAGTAATTCTCAATCAGGTGGGCTTTTGGTGAAGTGGTTAAGACCATGTTTGGGATTCCTCCATCCCATATCGGAGCACCTGGGTTAAAGTCACGGCTCTGCTCCTTATTCCAGTTTAATAATAATGTTCATTCTGGGAGACAGGTAACAGTTCCATTAGCTGGGTCCCTGCTATCCATGTGGGAGACCTAGAATGAGTTCCAGGATCCTAGCCTCAGCCTGGCCTACTGCACTTGTGGGCATTTGGGGAATGAACCAGAGGATGGAACATTTCCTTCCTTCCTTCCTTCCTTCCTTCCTTCCTTCCTTCCTTCCTTCCTTCCTTCCTCCCTCCCTCCCTCCCTCCCTCCCTCCCTCCCTCCCTCCCGCCTTCCCCCTTCCCTTCCTTTTTAAAAAAAATTTTTTTTTATTATTTTTTTTTGACAGGCAGAGTGGACAGTGAGACTGCACTCCCTGGCCACAGCAGAGAGCTGGCCTGGAAGAGGGGCAACCGGGACAGAGTCCGGCACCCCAACCGGGACTAGAACCCGGTATGCCAGCGCCGCAAGGCAGAGGATTAGCCTAGTGAGCCACGGCACCAGCCTCCCTTCCCTTCCCTTCTTTCTTTCATTCCCTCCTTCCCCCACCCTTTCCCTTTCAAATAAATTCTAAAAATTTTTTAAAATACACTTCTATCAACTCTAGATATACGGTAGTTGCAAACTAAAGTGGGGTCAACAAAAAGCCTCAGTAGCTGGGTTGTTTTTTAGAATCTAAGGACAGGATATTAATGTGGATTGATGTCAAATGCAATGAATCTAGGAATCAGAAAGATCTATCAATCTTTACTGGCACTGTGAACTTGAGTAAAACATGTCAGTCTCCTGGGTCTCAGTTTCCTTGTTTATAAAATAGGGAAAGTGATGCCCTGCTTAGAGAGTTATTTCCAAATTAAAGAGAATGTAAAGTGCCCAACCCATAGCCTGATATATAGTTGATGGTCAATAAATGGTAGCACAAGAGAATATCATCGATCCCTGTACACTAAACAATGTAGATTATAGAAGTTTATATCAAAATGTAGTATCAGACCCCTAGGAAACATAATCAGATTTTATTTATTAGAATGATTGACAGTTGATGTAGTGTAGTAAAATAAAACTAGCATAGATATGTTAAGTATACTGACAGTAACAAGTCACAAGATTGCAGGATTCATAGTAAAATAGCATCACATAGTAATGAGAAATTGAGCCAAAACTTAGTAGAAACAGCATATAAATGGTATGTGTAGCTTGACTGGCCCCTGCTGTACCCATGGCATTTTGTGACATTACAACAGTACCCATTCTGATGAGTTTATTAACAACCACAGAATCCTTCTCACCACTTGAGTATAGCCTGATACCGTTACTTAATAGGAACTTTCTACTCTGTTTCCAAGCAAATAAGATTATAAAACAGGTTGGATATGCCTAGAGTGGAATTTTGAATGAAAAGGTATAAGGCCAGGGATAATTCAAAAAGAAAGTGAGAAGTTTTGGAAGGTCTGTCCACACTCGTGTGCTTTAGAGAAAGATCATTCTTTAGTTAAAATACCTTTAACGCAATGTGAATCACTTACCTCTGCACCTTTTTTCTTTTTCATCATTTTCTGGGCCTCTAGTGCTTTCAAAGTGTGATTTGATGCTGGTTTAGGAATCTGTATGATAGCTGCTTGGATTTGGGCCATTATTTCATTTTGTCGTCTTCTGCTTAAGCGTTGCTGAGTATTACATATACACTAGTTTAGTTCTTTGGTTTGTCAGAATAATAAGCAATGTCATATACCCACAGATACACTTAATTCACTCCATGCACTGACATTTTCAGAACTCAGTAATTTACCAATAGACAAGGTGTCACCATTGTGTCATGCTGGGGAGCGGGGAGCAATATGACTTACTTTGAAATGGTATGATTTTAGGACAGTGTATTTTCATTCCATGTAACAATTCTACAGGATAAAGAAGGTGTTCCAAATACAAAGAAGAGTATAATTCTCTACTTTTTCCACCTTCATGAGTTGTCCAATTGTGGAGACAGAAATTCTGTCTGAAAATGGTCTGCAGAAAAAATTCAATCTAGGAGATAGTCACTAGGAATGTTCCTGGGAATCCCAAGAGAAGTGTCATGCTTCTCCCAAAATAATCACATGGTTAGACAATGGGTTGACAGGCTACCTCAAAGACTGTGTTGACACTAAATTATATGATATCATTATCAGATTATGGCATTATTATTGGAAGAAAGACAAAACTGAAAGAAAAAAATGCCTGTAAACTATTACTGTAAACCAAATAATTTAAAGGGTAGTATATGAAACTAATCATGACTTACAACTAACGCATTATATTAGAACTGATGAAGTCATAAATTCCTACATTCAAGGATAAGAAACTTTAATTTACCATTAGAAAGCTAGAAATTGAAGATAAAATTTTTTCTTTATTACGTATTTAAACTTGCACATTTTTATTTAATTAGAATATGATTATCTTTAAAGAAAACTGGGAAGACAGAGGCTCTCCCTTTTGCCCTATTTGCTTCCTGTGCTCATTTTAAACATAATTTCAGAATGTAGACCTGTGATATATTTCCTTTCCCCTACTTTCTTTGGAGCCTTTCTGCGCTACACTTGGCATTTCACATTTGGACAGGATGAGTCCCAGCACTTGGTCTAGATTTAGACACTGCTTCCAGAGTGCTTTGTCTATTTCCCGTGCAACACCAGAGTGGGGGTACAATACTGTATCCACTCTTGCAAGTAACAAGATAATAAATAAGATCTTCTGTCTCTCATCTTTCCCTCCTTCCCTACCAACAGCTGCCTGTATTCAGTATTAGTTAATTTCTTATAACTCTAAATATATTACTTTAATAAATGATTTTTCATCACAATGGGAAGAACTTTAGTTCTTTTGCCTATGGTTTACACATTCCATATGCCTAGTCATCTGAAATTCCCTTAAAACCTTTAATGAGTCCATATGCCATTATTCTCTCGTGTACTTAAAAGCATAAGAGATCATTAAAGGTTTTCAAAGAAATTTGAGAAGCAGCAGAGGGTTAGGTAAACCAAGAAGCAAAGGCCAGAAAGAAGTTGAGAGATTTGTGAGGTGGCTGGAGAGAGAAGCAAGTAGATTACCCCACATAGCAGAAATGAGGCCCGGGTAGGCAGAAAGACCAAGGGCTTGCCAAGGTGAACAAAGAGGGGGAGGAAAAAAAGTCCATCTTGTCTCCTTCAGTGGTGACAATGGTCAGAATCTTTGACCTGTGGGGTAGCAAGGAGCAAACCCACATCACTAGAGCAGTTCCATCATTAATTTCCACCAGTGAAAGAGACTAACTTACGGTGACACCCCAGAGGAAAAGAGAAGTTTTGTTCTTAATCACAATTAGAATTGACCCTCAGCAAGCGTGGGGATGAAGAGACAGTGTGAGCAAAGGGCAGGGCCAGGCGTGCACCAGGAAAACGTAACTGTGCTACGTTCTTACTTATGCAATGTGTACAACAGGCATGAATCACAGACAGTATCATATGCACTAATGAATTTCAGGAATATTATTCTATAAAACCTTTTCGATATTAAAACATCTTTGCTCTTCGCTGAGTTTTTGCATTCTTTCAAGTTTCTCAGAATGCACACGGTCAACATCTTCTCTCATGCGTCTATATTTTTCTTGGAACCTGTATGTAACCCGCATCAGATTGAAATCAGTTTGACGTGGTATCAGGATTTTAAGTCTCTGAATGAAGAAAGCATTTCGGAAGATTTTGTTATTAAAGAATATATAGTCACTATAAGCACACAAAAATTTATCTTCAAAATAAAATTTTTATGAATTACTATTGTTGAGAGTTAAAATGAATTCAAGCCCCATATCAACTGCTTATATCTTTAATCAATGTGAGGAATTTTTAAAAATTATTATTTGAATTCCTCCTTATAAAATAGCCTTATATATACTTTAGTAGTTCTTATTTTCTCCAGAGTTTAATTTTCAATGAATGATACTGTATCCTTAGAAACACATTTTCATAAAAATAATTTCATAAAACTAATTCAAGCATATAAAAGTTACTATAAAGAAGCTAAAGCTTCCCAGTTCTTAAGCCACTCACTAATGAAAAGTGAAAACTTCCTAGGCTTGACTGTCACCTCTACCACCTACTTAGCTCGGTGAACTTGAAGCAGTTAACAAATCCCTTTGCCTCATCACTTGTAAAATTGAAATAATGAAAGGATTTATTTCATTGGGCTGTTTTGACAATCAAGTGAGATAACATACATAAAGCACACGGAGCAGGGCTTGGCACATCACTTGGTTCATTCAATACATTTTAACCATTATTAACACACTATGTGGAGATGCCTGTACCTCACCCCATCTGGTATCAAAGAAAAAGACATCTCTATTGCTTTCCTAAGATACTTCCTCTTCCATATAAACCCTTGTTTGCATCGCCCTCTTTTTGTCCCAAAAGAATCTCTTTCATTTAGTCCTGAATACATTTCTATTTACTGTCACTGATTCTTTTTCTCAAATGGCAAGTTGTCCCACGCCCTGTGCCCATAAAACAAATAACCTCGCACCTCCCTTGAGCTTCTCTTGCTTCAGCTACTTATTTCTACTTTTAATTTACTTCTACATTTCTTGAAAGCATAACCCCCTTCTTTCTCATCTCAGTGTCCTCCGTGGTCACTGCAGTCTATGAGATAACTGAAACATTTTTCTCTCTGTAAAACAAAAACTCTATGAGGCCTGGAGCCTTCTCTGTGTTGTTCATCATGCAAGTGACTCACAAAAGGTATATGCCCAATAAATGCTTGTTCAGGGGATGTCTGATTGAGTCTGGAAGGTCACCACTAACCAACATTAAACCCAACAAGTTCTTGTTCTCATCTATGCAGCTCTTCTACAGCATTTGTCTTGGCTGCTTTATAGTTCATTGTATATGATCTTCCTGAAGCTACACAGAAGCCCAGCTCTGAGGCAGCTGGAGATAATCATCCTTGCTTTCACAGTAAGAAGAGCTGGAGCTGCAAATTTTTCAGTTACTGGCTCAGAGTGAACCAGCTTGCATGTGAATCAGGGAGGAGGCCATACTAACTTATGCGACTTCAAGCCTAATCTTTTATAGCTCTCTATGGATGCTGAATCTAATCTGCTATCGGCTCATGAGGTCATTCAAAACAACAGAACAACATAATTTACACTGATTTATATTTTGGCTGAGGGGAAACATGTAAAATGTCCTGAAAACTCACTGCTGCCTTTTTGGAAAGCATATTGCAATGAAGGTTCTTGTATAGAAGTGACAGGGGATTTCAAAATAAAAAAAAATAAGTATGTTCTATGAAAAAAAAAGGAGAAATCTGAACATGGAGCTGGCCTTGATCTCTACTGTGTCACTGTTAATCCATAAATCAAATTATTTAATTGTCTCCATTCAACTTTGCATCAGTGCAGCACTCACCTTTATCCCAGAGCCACAGAAAATATATCACACTTCTCTTATCATAAGTAAACAGCATAGGAATTAGAATTGCCAACTAAAAAGCTATATCCATTAATCAAACCACACTTGTGAGTATTTGCAATGCTTATAGCATTATAATATTCATATTCCTTGAATATGAGGTACTAAAATCTCTGTAAGGTCATATGACAAATAAATACTGAACAGTTAGCCAACAACAATGTCAGTGTCAAAAAGTTAACACTCAGAGAGTGAGAAATATCTGTACCCTCAGAGTTCCAAAGGAAAACTTGTTTGTACTGGGAAGGCTGCACAAGAGTAGGTAGAGAAATGAAGTTGGGGAAAGAAGTGAGAAGGATTAGTTTTGGTAGGAGGGAGGAGGCAGCAAGATTATACAAGTCATATTCAAGGACACTGTCAATCAACATAGAAGAAAGAAAGCCTTTATGTTGAGGGCTATAAAGAAATATAGGCAGGATGATACCACTTAGTGAAGGCCTTTTGAATGTCAGCTTAATATATACACATATATATATTATAATTTATACACACACACACTAGGTTTCTGAACCAAAGAAGAACCCAATGAGAGTGGAATTTAGGGAAGAGTCATCTAGCAGTTGATTGTTCTCTTGAAGAATGCCCAAGGATCTAGGGCCACATCAGCAAGCCACGGCAGTACCCAAGGAGATCTGAGCAGAAACCAGGGGGGTGAGCAGGCATAAAAATGACTGAGGCTTGGGAACAGAGTTGAATTGTTGGAAATGTGGATAGTATGGAGGGAAATAGCAAAAATGAATTCAAAATATTAATGTAAAATATAAATCAAATAAGGCCAGTGACATATGTAAGGGGCATATATATCTGATGGGAATGCAACATCACTGTCATTTCTTTGTTACCAAGTTTTATGTTGTGACATGCTTACCACGTTTCTTTATGTACCTACCTCTCGAAAAGCCTCACTTCTCATGTTCTGAAGTCTTAAATTTGTCAGGGGCTGCATGGTTTGCATTTCTAGTCCAGTGAGGCCACTTTTCTTTTTTCTCTGAAGAGCAATGTACAATTGATATAAAAGTTTTGTGGCCGCTCCAGGCTGTTCTGTGATGATGCTTTGGGCCACATTCTGATCAAACTGCACACCCAGAAGGTGCAGTGTTGGCTCCAAGCGAGAAAAATTATTAAGTTTGGCAGTTGAAGTCCTGTACATTGAAATAGTTTTCATAATTAGACATTGGCAATGAATTAAAAAAACAAATATCAGACGTATTGCCATGATATAATATTATGAATGATCCTACATGTATTTAATGTATCATTTCTTCTAAAACCATTCAATAGGATTGTTACTGTCTGTATCTACTTGAACTCCATTTATCTCTTTTGATTGGTTAGACTAAGACTGGTAATTTTATACTCTTTTCTGTTCTAAAGTGACAACAGAATTTCTGTAGGAAGTCATACAAAAATAGATAATCAAATGCCTTTTTCTAAATGGAAAAAACTTATCTATGGTTTTAAAAATATTTTACAAATGATGCAAAAATTACAACTAAAATTTTATTTATTTGTATTTTATTTGAAAGGTAGAGACAGGGAGGGAAGGAGGAAGGGAGAGGGAAGGGAGAGAGAGAGAGAGAAAGAGAGAGAGAGAGAGAGAGAGAGAGAGAGAGAGAGAGAGATCTTCTACCTGCTAGTACACTCCCCAAATGCCAGCAACAGTTGGGAAGCCAGGAAAGGGGATCTCCAAGTTTGCTACATGGGTGGCAGGGACTCAATTACTTGAGTCATCTTCTGTTGCCTCTGGTATGTGCATTAGCAGGAAGCTGGAATTGGAAGTAGAACTGGGACCTGAAACTGGACATTCCTGATATGGGATGCAAGCATCCCAAATAGTGTCTTAATTGCTATGCCAAATGCCTGCTCCCAAATTACAGCTTAAATAGCTATTCTTTTAAATAATATTACTGAAAGAGTCTGAAAACAGTCCTAAACATTTCACTGGCAATTTTAACAATAACCCCATCATTGTCAGTAATAATCAAACAAATAACATTAGCTAGAAATCATATTAAGTATGTAAGCTTCAGTATACAGTTTCTATTATTAGCTTATAATCAATATAGACTTTCTAATTAGAGGTTATATTTATTTTTGAATGATCTAGTACCAAATTAGGCTTGCCTTTTTGAGGAAATCCATTAATTCATGATTTATTAATTTAATCTTTCAATCAACATCTATTTTAAACTATGTACCATGATTTATTTATTTGTTTAATTGATACAAGTTTATACAAACTTAATAATGTGTTATAAAGATTAATAATGTGGCTCCTTCCCTTCAGGAGATCATAGTCACTGAGAAAAACAAATGCAGAAACAAGAAGTAATAAATTGAGGTAAATGGTGTAATAGAGGCTGAAATGATCCATGACTGTTAATGAGACTATCAGTCTAGTCACAGATGGAAAGCAAAAATTACTTAATGCATTTTCAACTCTTGTGTTGCTTTATGATCAGGCTAGATACAAATTGGTCTATTATCTCCTTTTAACTTGTAGCATAGAGTGATATTGTTTAATGAAAAAATACACTGAATATACTCTAATATAAGTCCAAGTTTTATCCAATACCCTCGAAAATGACACCTCAGAACAGAGAACTGTCAGATATTGGAGTATCTATAGAATTCTTAGTATTAGAAGGATATCTTTTCAATTATTTAATTTTGGACTATAAAATTATTTGGGGGAGATAGAATGACCTTCAATAACATCAGTTAAGTTTTTAGAGGCTCAAAGAGATCAACTAACACCTACAATTTTTACATTGTGATTATGCTCTACGGATGCTGTTTCCCAAGAGGCTGCTCTCAAGTAGCGGTTCTAAATCCTCTTATTCCAATGACAGGTATCTTTTTCTTTTTTTATTTTTATTTATTTATTTTTTTTGGACAGGCAGAGTAGACAGTGTGAGAGAGCGAGAGACAGAGAGAAAGGTCTTCCTTTTTCCATTGGTTCACTCCCCAAATGGCTGCTACGGCAGGTGCGCTGTGTTGATCCAAAGCCAGGAGCCAGGTGCCTCCT